GTGGTGAATGGCAAAGTGAGAGTTAGACCAAGGCCTAATCAACTCTTACACTCATTCATTCCCTTTGTGTCTGGCCATTTTCTACTCTTTGAAGGAAGCTTCATGTTGAGACTCCAGCCTTGGGTAGGAGTGACACATGGCATGATACTCATTCACTCCAGCTGGGCAGACCTTGAGAACCTGCTCCTGGTGCTGACTCTGGAAATAATAATTGATAACTAATGCCCATCAGGTACTTCCTATGTACTAGAAGCTGTTCCAGGCATTTAAAATAGAATAACTTTCTTTTTTTTAAATCCTCACCTGAGGACATGTTTTTATTGATTTTAGAGACAGAATAAGGGAGGGAGGGGGGAGAGAGAGAGAGAAACATTGATGTGAGAGAGAAACATTGATTGATTGCCTCCTGTAAACTCCCTGGCTGGGACGGAATCTGCCAGGGCTATAATAACTTTCTTAATCTTCATAATAACTTTATGAAGTGAGGTATTGCTATTATTTCTATTTTTCTAGAAAAAGAAACTAAGACCACAAAAGGTAGATTGCCCAAGGAGAGGGTTATACAGGAGCATGAATACCTGGAGATGGCAATCACTAGGAGCCATTTTAGAGACTGCCTCCCATTATCACAGTTGGTAAGTGGTCGAACAGGGATTCACACCTAGAAATCTAACTCCAGAAATCATGCTCTTAACATCAAAATTATATGGCCTTTGCCCTGTCTGGTTTGGCTCAGCAGTTAGAGCATTAGCTCATGGACCAAAGAGTTGGGGGTTCGATTCTGGTCAGGGTCATGTACCTTGGTTGCAGTTCAGAACCAGCCCCTGGTCAGGGTTGTGAGGGAGGCAACCAGTTGATATGTCTCCCTCACATTGATATTTCTCTCTCTATCTCTCTCTCTCTCTCCCTCTCTCTCTCTCTCCCCCCCGCCCCCACACTCTATCTGAAGATAAATGGAAAAAATATCCTTGGGTAAAGATTTAAACAAACAAACAAACTATATGGCCTTTTTGTTTAACAAGTGGTGCTTGAATCCCTACGGTGTGCCCAGCTCTGTTCCAGGCACTAGGACTACAGAGATCAAACTGATTCCATGTCTAAGTTTATTTATTATTCCATACCAAGATTTCCAAATAATTGGGCATCAGTTAATAACAGAACTCTTCTGTCAAAGAGCTGGGACACCGGGCCAGGCTCTAGGCAGAGATGGGGGACTAGAAGTCCTCACAGAGAAACAGTCTAATGCAAGTGGAGTAAGAAGACTTAAGACCTGGTGGCAGTGAAGTCACTCAGATATCCTGCCCAGGCCTCTAGGTCACCAGTCCGGATAGAAGAGTCACTTAATTCTAAATCCTAGAAGACAAAATTTAGGATCTGAGTAATCTTGTCTGTGGTGTTGGCTCTAAGGAGCTCGGGAAGCAGAGGTAAGAGCATGGGAGGGGTGGATTAAATATGACTGCACTGTTTCCTAGGTCCACACACAGAGCTTTTTTTTTTTACCCTCACCCGAGGACATTTTTGCATGTATCTTCAGACAGAGCAGGAGGGAGACAGGGAGGAAGGGAGAGAGAGAAACATCGATGTGAGAGAGACACATGGAGTGGTCGCCACCCACATGACCCCAACCAGGGCCGGGGACAAACTGCAACTGAGGTATGTGCCCTTAGTGAGAACTGAGCCTCTGGACCGCAGGCTGACACTCTAACTGCTGAGCCAAACCAGCCTAGGCCACGGAGCTTTTTTTAAATCCTCACCCGAGGACATTTTTGCATTTATCTTCAGATAGAGCTGGAGGGAGAGAAGGGAGAAGAGAGAGAGAGAGAAACATTGATGTGAGAGAGACACATAGAGTGGCCATCACCCACACAACCCCAACAGGGCTGGGGACAAACTGCAACTGAGGTACGTGCCCTTAGTGGGAACCAAACCCGGGACTCTATGGTCTGCAGGCCGATGCTCTAACTGCTGAGCCAAACTGGCCAGGGCCACAGAGCTTTTATGTAGATATGGCAGACAGTGAATATTTCTCTGAGCCCTGCCAGAAACATAACTATCTTTTATTTATCTATTTATTTATTTATCCTCACCCGAGGATACCTTTCCATTTATCTTCAGATAGAGTGGGAGGGAAGGAGGGCAGGGGAGAGAGAGAGAGAAACATCCATGTGAGAGAAACACATCAACTGTTGCCTCCCATACGACGCCAACCAGGGCTGGGGATGAACCGCAATCGAGGTACGTGTCCTTGGCTGGAATCAAACCTGAGACTCTTTGGTCCGCAGGCCGACGCTCCAACCACTGAGCCAAACTGGCCAGGAGTTTTAAAAAATATATATATATTTTTTATTTCGGGGTGGGGGGGGAGAGAAACATCTACGTGTGAGAGAGACATCAATCAGTTGCCTTCCACACCCACCCCAATCAGGGATCAAACCTGCAACCTGGGCATGTGTCCTGACCAGGAATAAAACTGGTGGCCTTTTGGTTCACAGGGTGATGCTCAACCAACAACCAACTGAGCCATACCAGCCAGAGCCATTTCTCATCTCTTCACATCTAATCTATCAGCATGCTCTATAATTTACCTCTTAAGTACCTCTTTTTTAAAAAATGTATTGATTAGAGAGAGAGAGAGAGAGAGAGAGAGAGAGAGATGAAGGGAGAGAGGGATAAACAGAGGGGGGAGAGAGAGAGAAACATCAATTTGTTATTCCACTTATTTATGCATTCATTGGTTGATTCTTTTATGTGCCCTGCCCCAGGGATCAAACCCTCAGCCTTGGCGTTTTGGGACAGCACTCTAATCAACTGAGCTACCTGGCCAGGGCTCTCTTAAATACCTTTTGAATCTGGTTCTATTCCACCCCCTTTGTTACCACTCTAGTTCAAATCCTGATCAGGTCTCACCTGAACCACTGCAACGATCTTCTAACCAGCCTTTCTGCTTTCCATGCCTTTCCCTTCCAGTCCATTCTCCACCTCACAGTCAGAGTGTTCTTTCTAAAATTTAGATCTAATCATGTTAATCATCGCCTACCCATTTCCTATTTCCTATCATTCCAGATGTTCTTCTAGGGTACTCACTGGCAAAAACTTTCTTCTGCCAAAATATCTTTCCTTTACTTCTCTGCTTGGAAAATTCTTTAGAAAAGCCCCCGTTGTCCTCCTTCTATTGCCAAATAAGCACATCTTCAGGCAATGCTTCTGGGCTCAGTACAAATTCACCTGAGGGAATCATTATGTTGTCTATCACATTTCCAGTTCTCCTGGGCATATTATAGGATAGTACATTCTTGGGTGCGGGCATGTGACTTGCTTTGGCCAGCGAAATGGGAAAAGTGGAAGTTTTAAGTCAATACATGAGTCTCACACTTTCTTTCCCTCTGGTAGCTGCCTTGTCAGTCTTGATCCTAGAATAAGGAGGACGAAAAGCAGAGCACCCAGGCAACCCTTAGTGGATAAGTAACAATAGTAAAAAATAAAACCTTGTTTATTATGCTTGCTTGTTACTGAATAACCCACTCTAACCTAACTGGTACACTATCTCTGTTGACAAACCTTCCATAACTACCTAAAACCACCATGATTCTCTTACCTGACTTGTGTGACACATTTTCTTTGTACAACTTATCTGGTACTGATGACATACTGCCACATATTGCTAATTATCAGTTTGATTTGGTGTGTCTTAGCCACCTCCTCACTTTTACTGAGGCTTCCTGAGGGCAGAGATGGTGCTTGTTTCATTTTTATATCACACAAAGTATGGTTCATGGCCAAGGCAGTATACTGTAATAGGTGTAGGAGTCAGACAGATTTGTTTTGAATCCCAATTCTGATATTTAGTGGGCAATCTCTTACAAAAATAAACATATAAAAATTTTTATATTTTAGTCATTCTCCTATTGCTGAATATATAGGTTGATGATACTTTTTAAATAAAGTGGTAACAAACATTTTTGTGATTAGGTATTTGTTTGATTTTCCAATTTTGTAGGAAAAGTTTATAGGAGAAAACATTCTAGGTGAAAGGGTACAAATTTAAAAAAATTTTCTTTTAATCCTTACCCGAGGACATTTTTCCATTTATCTTCAGACAGAGTAGGAGGGTAGGGGAGAGAGAAACATCAATGTGAGAGGGACACATCAACGGGCTGCCCCCCATGCGACCCTGACCAGGGCCGGGGACGAACCGCAACTGAGGTACATGCCCTTGACCAGAATCAAACCTGAGACTCATTGCTCTGCGGGCCGACACTCCACCACTGAGACAAACCGGCCAGGGCAATATATATATGTATCTCCTCACCCGAGGACATTTTTTCATTTTTTTGTTCAGATAGAGTGGGAGGGAGAGAGAGAGAGAGAGAAAGATGGATGTGAAAGGACACATTGAGTGGTTGCCACCCGCATGACCCAACCAGGGCCAGGAAAAACTGCAACCGAGGTACATGCCCTTAGCGGGAACCGAACCTGGGTCTCTCTGGACCACAGGCCGATGCTCTAACCACTGAGCTAAAGCTACCAGGGCAGTACAAATATTTTTAATGCTATTGAGACTTCCAAATTGATTTCCAAAAAGATTGAATCAAATTCCAACTCCCATGAGCAGATGTGAGGTTGCATATCTCATTACACTTATGGGAATTATAATTAAAAATAAGGTTAAAACCTTGTTAACCCAGTGGAGGGCTCTGACCCAGCTTAGGGAGTCAAGGAAGATGTCCTGGAGTTGCTGACATATATGCTGCATGTTTTAAGATAAAACCTTGTTAAATATTCATTTACATTTTTTTTGTGAATTGTTTATTCCTCTTGCCTGTTGGGATTTTTAGTTATATTCTTATTAATTTCAATGAGGTTTTAAAAACCATTTTATTCTAGTCACCAAGATTAATATATGAGACATAATAGTTGCTCTTATTAGGTAACTCTTCTGGGGACTTTTTAGAAACAAAAACAAACTTTCTAAGAGGCTGACTCTTTCCTTTCCCACCTAGGACACAGCTGGGCAGGAGCGATACCGGACTATCACCACAGCCTATTACCGTGGGGCCATGGGCTTCATTCTGATGTATGATATCACCAATGAGGAGTCCTTCAATGCTGTCCAAGATTGGTATGAGATTCATTCATTCATTCATTCATTCATTCATTCATTCACCAAACTGTTCAAGAAAACCTAAAGCACGGTAGGCCTTGTGCTGTGGGCTAGAGAAATCTGAATCAATCAGATTGGCTCCTGTCCTCAAGGAATTCATGGATGAGAGGAGAGGACAGATCAGTAAGCAGGCAATGAAAATACTGTGTGACAGATACAGTGATGAAGAGAGTAACCAGGGCTGTCAGAACCCAGTGGAGGGCTCTGACCCAGCTTGGGGAGTCAAGGAAGGTGTCCTGGAGTTGCTGACACATATGCTGCATGTTTTAAGATGAATGAGAGTTAGCCAGAGGGGTGAATGGTTAAGAATTTTCCAGGAAAAAATATAGATGTGCAAAGGGGAGAAGGTAGGCAAGAGGATAGAATGAGCAAAAGTCATGAAGAATTTTATGTTCTGGGTAAGAAGTTTGGATTTTATCCCACAGATGATGACATTTGAGCAGGGAACCAACAGGCTCAGATTAATGTTTTAGAAAGATCATTCTGGCCATAGTAGTGAGTGAATCCACATACTGCTTCCCTATAAAGTTTATCCCTGAGATGAGTTAGGTGTCCAAGAGCACATCCGATCTAAGTTCGTAAAGATTCAACTCACTGTGGAAGTCAGCACAGCTCTTCAGTGGTACAACCTCTGAGCAACTTAAATCTTTCTTTCTGCAGCATAACTCACAGGTAGAAGGTAGCATGAGGGGAAGGATGGATGAGAGGAAGGAGCCAGGACCCTATGCTCCAATTAGTGGAAAGGATGAGGGATGAGGGGGCAAGCTGAGCATGCCGGGCACACAGCAGCAGTGCTGCCCAGTACCAAGCTTTTCTCCTGCTCCCTTTTGCCAACACCTGCCCTTTGAGGACTTCCCATTTCCCAAGGAACAGTTGCCATGACTATGTGAATCACTGTTTGTGTCTTGGGGCCTTGAGCTGAGAGTGGCCTTGCAGACTGCCTGCTGCACCCCCCTGTTCTAAACAGTAGTCCAGGGTGCCATCTGCACGTCTGTCATTCATGGTGGTCTGTGTTATCCTTCTCTGCTCCTTGATCATCCTCTTCTTCCTCCTTTCTCGCTCTTCCCTTTAACAACTCCTCTCTGCCTTCCTTCTTTCTTCTTCCTTTCTCTTTACTCCTCTTTTTTTCCTTTATTATTCCCCTTCTTCCCTCCAGTCATGATGTTTCTCTCCTCCTCCCATCTCCCCACATGGAGTGATTAGCTCCTTCTGTAAGTGTCTCCACACTGCTCATTCTTTGTTGGTCTTGACCTCTTTCTCCATCAGTCCGTGTTCATTCTGCCTCAGGAACACAGTGACTTTAACACCTGGTGACAATTTCTCCAAGAATAACCTGAGCTGCTAATCTGGGAGTTGAGAGTGGTTACAGTGGGAGGAGGGAGGAAAATGACAGGAAGAGTTGCATGAGGAAACATGGAGAGTTAGCTCCAGTTAACTGCCTTGAGGATGAAGACTGAGTATGTCTCTCTTCCAAGTCCTGGCCTTTGAGAAATTTGGTCCCAGGTTAGCCCCCACCTGCCATCTGAGCTGCAGTGCCCAGCTTGGAACCTAGCTCTTTGTTGGCCCACAACAAATGGTGGTTGAGTGAATTCCATCCTTTGAGGGATTGGCTTCTCACCATTAAACAAAAGGTTGGATCAGCTTTAGGAGCAGGGTTAATAATAGGTGCAGGTTGTAGTTAGGATTGAGTTAGATTGAGGGTCAATGTCAGGATAGGGTCATAATTTTTGATCTGCTTAAGGATTAACCATTTGCTGGCTTATTCATTCATCACACATTCACTGTCAAATTCTCTGATCTGTTTACTTGGTGGAGCTAGCACCCCAAAGATGAAAAAGCCTGTCCCTGCCCTGGAGGGAAGGACAGATAAATTCAGCTAAATGTAACAATAGCCTCAGTAAATGGGTAGGGGATCAAAAGGGGAAGTAATTGTTTCTACCTGGTGGTTGGTTGGAAAACAGAATTAGGCCCATTTCCACAAAAAATACATCTCCACAATATAAGGATCCTATTTTGTCCCCTCTTTTAAAATTTTGTTTCTAATTATAGAAGTAAAACATATTCACTTTCAAAATTTGAAAAGTACATAAAACTATTTTTTTAAAGTTTCATAATCATTGTATATGAAAGAAAGCACTGCTGATGTGATAGAAGGTTTATGAATCCCAGAGGAGGAGAGAGAGGCTAGCTGGGCCTGGGGAAGGCTTCCCACAGGGAATTGTGGGATGAGCCTTGAGCCTTGGAGGATGAGTTAATGTGGGGAAGGGATTCCCAGTACAGGCAAGGACAAAATCCATGGGAGAGCATTTTGGGGGAATGGGTGAGAAGGTTTGTAAAGTGGGAGGAAGGGTGATGAGGCTGGAGAGACAGAAGATGAGTAATCTTTAACACCTAACTGAGGGATCTAGACTTCATTGCATGAATAGTAGGCAGAAAGCTTTTAAGAAAGGATATGGTCAGATAGACATTTTAGCAAGAGTTCTCTACCCAGCGAGAAGAGGGAGGGGTGGATATATCAGAAGAGGGCTCCAAAGAGCTAGGTGAGGTTTGCAACCAGGGCTCAGGTATCAGCATCTGTGACAGCCAGTAGGGACATGTGTCTGTCTCTGTCCTCAGCTGAATTAATTAACAGTAACCTGGGTGTTGCTATTCCTATGGAAAGGAATTGGTTTCTTCAAGCTTCACAGAGTCCTTTACAGCCTGGGTGGGGTGTCACTAACATAGTCCTCTCTCTGTCACTCTTTAGGGCTACTCAGATCAAGACTTACTCCTGGGACAATGCACAGGTTATCCTGGTGGGAAACAAGTGTGACATGGAGGAAGAAAGGGTTGTTCCCACTGAAAAGGGCCGGCTCCTCGCAGAGCAGCTTGGTATGTATACAACACGTGTATGTTCATGTGTGTGAGTGTACATGTGTTCACGGAAGTGTGACTTGGGAGGGTTGTGCTTGCGAAGTATGTACATATGCGCTCTGTGTGCATTGTTTTATATTTGTGTGATGTACATATAGCTTTGTGCTAGGTGATTCATTATTATATGTTACATTTTGTTCCATTGAGTATATAAGTAAAACTTAAAATTATGAACTCTTACATGGAAGTAGGGAGCAGACTGACAAACTTCAAAGGAAGGGGGTGGGTAAGGTGGGAATAGAGATAAACCAAAGAACTTATATGCATATATGCATAACCAATGGACATAGACAACAATGCTTTAAAGTGGGGCACAGGAGTGGGGAGGAGGAAGTCAATGGGAGAAAAAGAAGAAACATCTGTAACAAAAATTAATTAATTAATTTAAAATAATCATAAACTCTTTTTTTACTAGCTCCTTCCACAAAAGATTTGAGATGTTTTATAAAAGTCATCATAGAACATTTTAAAAATCAAAATAAGTAAGAAAATTGGAGCAAAGGAAAATCAAGGGTAGGAGGAAAATAAAAGGAAGCCAGTGATGAGATAAGTATGTATATTGTAAATTCTTGGGTATGTGCAAGAGTTGGGCCAAAATATTGGCTTTGAGCTTCCTAGCAACTATTGCAAAGAGGGAAATATAATCCGTTTCAGAGGTAACTCTTAAGTTAAATACAAACCCATTATTCCAGAGAAGCACTGCTCTTCATTGGCAGCTGTGAGCAGCCTGGCCGATGTGGCTAAGTGGTTGAGCGTTGATCCATGCATCAAGAGGTCACCAGTTTGATTCCTGGTCAGGGCACATGCCCAGGTTGTGGGCCCAATCACCAGTGGGAGGCATGCAGGAGGCAGCTAATTGATGTTCTCTCTCATCAATGTTTCTATCTCTCTCCCCCTTTCCCTTCCTCTCTCTCTAAAAATCAATAAAGAAAAAACAACAACAAAAACTGTGAGCAGACTCTATGTGGCATGTGACAGTGTCCTTAATATCAAACAACCTTACAATAACTATAATACTGAACGTTATAGGTTGTATCTTACACTTTCTTTCAATGTAAACTGATCCTTCCTCACCAAAACACGGTTTACAACAAAAATTACTGTATGAAGGAATGAAACTGTGGCTTTAAGTATGCAGCTCAATAATGCTCTGACTGAGGAGCAAGGTTAAAGTATCTTGATTCTTGTGTTCCATTGAGACTCAGGTACCTTAAGTGTGTCTCAGTGGCCCCACAGCAGGACTCCTGCCTATACTTGCTTGAAATAGCAGCTTTTTCATTTCTTTTCTGTATTGGGGTTTAATGTAAGGTTGACTTAGAGAACTCTTCCTTTAGAACAGCAGTTCTCAACCTGTGGGTCGCAACCCCTTTGGGGGTCGAATGACCCTTTCACAGGGGTCACCTAAGACATAACAGTAGCAAAATTACAGTTATGAAGTAGCAACAAAAATAATTTTATGGTTGGAGGTCACCACAATATGAGGAACTGTATTAAAGGGCCGCGGCATTAGGAAGGTTGAGAACCACTGCTCTAGAAGAATGGATATACTGCTTGGCTTTCAGTCAGTCTCTCTAAGTAGTTATCACAGCCTAGGTGCTGTAAGTTTTCAGAAGTAACAAGTTTAAAGTTATACTTTCTGACAATTTCTGAAATACAGATATTTGGGCTGGGAAGTGGGTAAACTGTATAATGTACCAGTGTGTTGTATATATTTGTATTATGCGTGTTGTATATATTTGTATTACATGTATTATGAGTGTGTGTTGGGGGAGGGGTCCTATACTTCTTTCTCTCCTCCCCTATTTTTCCAGGGTATTCTGGAATAGAAATGAGCAAACTGTAGGTAAATAATAAATAGGGAGATTGGATCATCATGAATTGTGCTATTCTTATACCATCACAGAGGTTCTCAGGGTCTAGAAAATGCCTCCACCCATTTGTGGTTTACAGAACAGTAAGCATGTGGTGAAGCCCACACCTAGGTAATCTCAGGCTATGTCTTTATGTCTTCGACCTGCTGTCACCAGGAAAACACCCAGCACTCTCCCTGGACCTGCTATGCCCCATCTGTGCCCCATCCCCTACCCTCATTTATCTGTGAACCCTTACTCAGTTTTCAAAACAGCTTAAACTTTACACCTTCCATGAAGCCTTTCCTGGCTTCCCAGAGCTCTTTTCTTTGTGTCCGCACTTGATGTACCCCATACAGGCAGCAGTCACAGTCCCCATTGCACTTGTCTTCTTGTCCATCTCCCCAAAGCTCCATGAGGACAGGAAATTAGTCTCGTTTATCTTTGTACCCACAGTGCCTAGCATATGGCCTGGCCCTGAGTAGATACTGCACAAATATTTTTTTATTAAATTTTTATTATGTTAAGTATTTGGCTATTCCATTTAACTTCAATCCAGTTAAGACTTCCTGAGTACCTACTCTATGCCACGTACTGTGCAGTAAAATAGGGTACATTCCATGGTTTGTGAAGGACAGAAACAATACCCCAAGTGATCAGTGTTGTGATAGAGGGATATGGGGGAGGGGAGGAGGAAGCACAGAGGAGGCACTTAATTCAGTTGGGATCAGAGAACATGATGCCCAAGCTGCATCTTGAAGACAAGTAGGAGCAGCCAAGTGAGGAAAAGAAGCAAGACATTCTAAACAGGGGGAATAACACTAGCAAAGGTAAGGAATAGCATTTCATGTTCCCGCAACCATAAATCATGAGATTGTGTGAGCTGAGAGTAGTGTTTCTCAAAGAGAGAGACCCATGAACACTGGAAGTGTGCAAAATGATTTTATGTATATATTTTTGTGTGTATTAGAAAAAATATAATCAGCATGTCAAGTCCTTAGAGTTAAACAAGACTAAGTTTTAAAAAGGTGAGTTAGTTTTATACTAGAAAAGAATATATAGCCAGCATGCCAAGTCCTTATGACTAAGATTTTTAAAAAACAAGTTGGTTAAATATTTACTAGGTGTTTACCATGTGCCAGATACTATAAGTGTTTTAAGGTATTAATCATGTAATTCAATTCTCCTAGAACCTTCTGAGACATGTAATTTTATTATCTCCAAGTTATTATTATTATTATTTTTAATCCTCACCTGAGGATATTTTTACATTTATCTTCAGACAGAGTGGGAGAGAGGGAGGGAGAGAGAGAAACATCAATGTGAGAGAGACACATTGATTGGTTGCCACCCACATGACCCCAACCGGGACTGGGGATGGACTGCTACTGAGGTACGTGCCCTTGGCTGCAATCGAACCCGGGACTCTTTGGTTTGTGGGCTGACGCTCTAACCACTGAGCAAACAAACCTGCCAGGGCCAAGTTTTTGTTTATTTATTTTTTCCTTTATTGATTTTTTTTTTTTTTTTTTTAGAGAGAGAGAGGAAGTGAGAAGGAGAGAGAGATAGAAGCATTGATGAGAGAGAACATCAGTTGGCCACCTCCTGCATGTCCCACAATGGGGATCGGGCCCACAACCTTGGCATGTGTCCTGATCAGGAATCAAACCGGCGACCTTTTGGTGCATGGGTTGACGCTCAACCACTGAGCTACAATGGCTAGACAAGTTATTATTTTTTTAACAGATGAGAAAACTGAGGCACAGAGAAGTTGGGTAACTTGCTTAAGGTCACACAGTTAGTAATAGGTAGAGTCAGACTTTTAACGTAAGCACTGGTCTGGCTCCAGAGCATAACCACTTAACCACACTCTAGGGCAAATATGGTAATAATGGGTGATATATATTGAGCCAAACATTCTATGAAATACTTTGCATTAATTATCTCATTTAATTCTCAATATAACCCTTCAAGGTAGGTACTATAGGGCAATACTCTAGAAAATGAAGTTCATAGATTAAGTAATTTGCTCAAGACTACACAGTTAGGAAGTAGTGGAGTCAGTATAGATCTATCAAATTTATGTAGAAATGTAGATGGAAGTGAGATTAATTCTTAGTAAGAGGTTTAGGGAGGCACCTGAAGAGGGCCTTAATGAACTGATCAGATTTGGGCAGGTCAAGGTAACCCATTTCTGTCCTACTCAACTTCCTGAGCTTTCCTCTATTGCTTACCAGAACTTTCTTACTTACATGTCTATATCTCTTGCTAGATCTCAAGAGTAGCTGAAGTTATGTCTTCTAATTTGTTTCCATTATTCCAAGCACCCATAACATGGTAGATATTCATTTAAAAATATATTTTGAGCATGTACTCTGAGTCAGGCAGTTTCTGTTTTGGCACTTAGGATATAACAGTGAACAAAACAGCCCTCATCCTTACTGTCCTGAAACCAAGAAACTTTAACAAATAATTAAACAAAAATATATATAATTCAAATGGTATAAATGGGTGAATTGCATGATATGTGAATTATATCTCAAAGCTGTTAAAAATTGTGATAAGTTCTGCATGAGTTAAGACTCTTGTTATAACAAATAATAAAATCCCAAATCAAACTAGCTTTAATTAAAAATATATACATTTAGCCCAGCCGGTGTGGCTCACTGGTTGAGCATTGACCCATGCACCAAGAAGTCGCTGGTTTGATTCCCAGTCAGGGTACATGCCCAGGCTGTGGGCCCGATCCTCAGTGGGGGACATGCAGGAGGCAGCCAATTAATGTTCTCTTTCATCAATGTTTCTATTTCTTTCTCCCTTCCTCTCTAAAATTAATAAAGAAAAATATTAAAATATATATATGTGTACACACACACACACACACACACATTTAGTTCATGTACCCAGCAAGTCCACTAGACCCAGGACTCAGTTGCACTCTCTGGTTCTCAGCTTTACTTATCCCTTCAGCCTCCACTTGTAGTCAAACTCTGCATGGGGAGTAAGATGGATGATGGCAACTCCAGATTCATATCTTCCCAAATCCTGCAAAAAGAGCCTCTCTCTCCCAGCCACCATATATGAATCTCAGGGAAGAATATGACTGGT